GATTCCAACCTGCCCCAAATTCCCAAACCCCTATCATAAAAATCAAATTATCTACTCTACCCTATGTTCCTCTATAAAAATCTTTTAATGTAAGAGCACGGGGTCTTTTGCTCAACCCATTGCGGGGGTCAAAGCAAGGACCCTAACTTAAGTTAGCTAATAAACTTTCCTATTGCTTTTTGCATTGTCATGTGTTAGCAAATTCCTCGCCCCGAACTACTCCTTCATAACCTGGGCACAACATGCCTTCAATTTCTTTAATATAAAAACACTGCCATTTAGTAAATTCCAACTCATAGTGAGTGACCCCCATTGGGTTTCCAAGGCAACAAATGTTTAGGGAAGTAGATAGCCCTATTTTTCTTCTGTGGAGCAGCCAATAGGATTGAACCGCTAATCTTCTGGTTAGCAGTCAAATGCCTTAGGCACTGTGCCACCAGAGTTCCTTTTAATAGATAATAGGGGGCTAGTCAAGTTATCTATATCTTTCTTGCATGAGCTTTGTGTTTTTCAGGGAATTTGCCCATTACTTCTAAGTTGTCAAGTTTATTGGCATAAAGTTATTCATAATACACCTTTTTAATGTTGGTGTAGGATCTGTGATGATGTTTCCTCTTTTGTTTCTGCTACTGGTATTTTTTATTTTCACTCTTTTCCTTGATTAGTCTGACTTGAGATTTATTTGTTTTATTGATCTTTTAAGAAACCAGATTTTTTTTCCCTCTCCCTATTATTTTACTATTTTTGATTTCACCTTTCATTCTTTGTTTACATTGGGTCTAATTTATTCTTTTGCTAGAAAATTAATGACATGTCAATCATTGTTTTAGATTTCCTTTTCTAATATAACTATCCAAAACCATTAATATCTCTCCAGTTTCACAAATTTTGATATTTTGTGTTTCCTTTTCATTTATTTCAAAATATTTTTTAATTTTCTTTGAGATTTCTTTTTTGATCCATGGGTTATTTAAAAGTATGTTGTTTAATTTTCAAATACTTATAGGAATTTCCAAATAATTTTTAGCTGTTTGTTTCCAGTTTTATTCTGTTGTGGTGAAAGAATGTTTTTGATATGATTTCAGTTCTTTAAAATTTACTGACACTTGTATTTTCCCTTTACTGCCTTTTGTACTATTGTACTATTTGTACTGTTGTCATAAAGCTGAGAAAAATTCATCATCAGCCAACCTAACTACAAAGAAATATAAAAGTTATTTCAAATCCACTAGCCACTCCTTGGAAGGAAGATTGGGCAATCTGCTTCTGTGGAGATACCGCATTGGAAACCCAAGGTGGGGTCGCTGTGAGTCAGATCCGACTCAAAGGCAGTGAGTTTGGTTTTGTTTTTATATGTTATAAGCCCCAGAATACGTTGTTATTGTTAAAAAGTCAATTATCTTTTAAGATTTTTAAAATAAGGAGATATTGCTTATATTTTATGACATATTTACTGTTTCTGGTGCTATTAATTCCTTTGTGCCAAACTACATTTAGATCTGGTATCACATTCATTTTGCTTGAAGAACTTTTACATTTCTTTATAGTTAGGTCTGCTGGTGATGAATTTTTCTCAGCTTTTCTTTTTTTTCTTTCCTGAAACAGACTTTATTTTACATTTCCTTTCAGTATTCTACATCCTAAATAAAAGCAGAACTGTCACACCTTTTGAAGGATTTTTTTTAAATGGATATTATGTTGTTAATTATTTTGATTTTTTACTTCTAGTACTTTTTAAAGATGTAATTCCAAGATGTCTGTTATTCTTATTTTTGTCCCTCTGTCCTTAGGAGACAGGCTTGATGATTTGCTTATAAAGGTTATATAACATTGAAAACCCTATGGAGCAATTTTATTCTACACTCAGGGTCACCATGAGTTGGAATTGACTCCATGGCAACTAATAACAGCATGTAATTTGACTGCTCTTGACACATGTTCTTTGTGACTAGTTTTCATCAATTTGATTATGATGTGCCTTAGCATAATTTTGTTTCTTTTGTTTTGGCTTCATTTTGCTTCTCAGATTTGTCAATTTATAGTTTTCACCAAATGTGGAAAATTTGGGGTCTTTATTTTCTGCAGTGTAGTAAATTACTTAGTATGGCTTTTCTACCCATAGGTCATTGTAAACTCAGTGGTGGAATGAGCAACTGAGGAGCTCCTGATTGTAAATGTTATCCACCTGGGTTATTTCTGTTGGGCGTGGCACAACGCAATGTTATGGGAGGCTCACTCTCAGGTGCTTAGAATTCTGTTGTTATGATTGGTTAGTTTGGCCACTCTGCCAAGCTCAAAAGGAGGCCTCCTAGAGGCAGAACTCTCTCTGACTGCTGGTTGAGGAAGACGTGCTGCTGAAAGAGACACGCGTTGCTCAGTAAGACACCGAGGGACGTGCACTGCTGGGGCACAGACTATGAGAGACTTGGCTGAGAGACGGTGGGCTGGGAGGGAGATTAAGCGTTTTTTCCTGAACTCAAATTGTAGTCTGGTGCTTCCCTAGTAAACCTCATAATCTGAGTTTTGTGTGGCCACTGCAAAAAGGACAAGGAGGTCACATGTTCTGACCTCCTCTAATCCCACAAGAGGAAGACAGAATCATCATCAATAGCCCAAGGCCTATTCCTGTGAGGCCAGACGTGCTGCCTCCCTCCAGCCCTTTCTCCAACCGTTCCTCCCAAAGCACCCAACACCTCTCTCCTGGGTTCAATAATTCGCTGCAGTGACCACACAGAACTCACAGATTTTGAGGTTTACTAGGGTAGCACCAGACTACAATTCAAGTTCAGGAAAAAACCCTTAGTCTCCCTCCCAGCCCACCGTCTGTCAGCCAAGTCTCTCACAGTCTCTCCCCCAACAGTGCACATCCCTCGGTGTCCTACTTAGCAATGTGTGTCTCTTTCAGCAGCACGTCTTCCTCAACCAGCAGTCAGAGAGAGTTCTGCCTCTAGGAGGGCTCCTTTTGAGCTTGGCAGAGTGGCCAAACTAACCAATCATAACAACAGAATTCTAAGCACCTGAGAGTGAGCCTCCCATAACATTGCGTTGTGCAACACCCAACAGAAATAACCCAGGTGGATAACATTTACAATCAGGAGCTCCTCAGTTGCTCCTTCCACCACTGAGTTTACAATGACTTATGGGTAGAAAAGCCATACTACGTAATTTACTACACTGCATTTTCTCAAATAATTTTTTCTATTTTTCCTCTCTTTTCTGGGGTGCCAGTTACAGGTATGTTAGACATTTTTTTTATTATTTTATTGTGAGTTGGGTGAAAGTTTATAAAGCAAATTCATCTTCCATACAGTAGTGCACGTACACTGTCTCATGACATTTACTATAATCTCCCCCAATGCAGCAACTCTCCTCCTACTTAGCCACCTCTTCCCTGTGTCCTTCCCTCCTGTACACTCCTGCCCCCCAAGCTGTCTGCTTGTGCATACACAGCCCTTTTATTCTCCCATGATTGATCTTTCCAAGGAGTATATCTGCCTAATGTAAATGTTCAGCACATATGCCTGTCTTTTGTTTGGCTGGAAGCCACAGAAGTGGGTTCAGTTCCAGACCTGAAGGGCAACTGGGGGCCATAGGGTATCTTAGGTTAGATTTTTAGGCCCCTTGATCTTATCTCTTTATTTCTAATTTTTTTCTCATTGTGCTTCATTTTTGGTAGTTTATATTGCTATGCCTAAAAATTTAGTAACCTTTTCTTCTGCTCTAAGATGTTGCTATTATTATATTTTTCATTCCTTGAAGTTTAATTTTATTTAACTTTTTTATATCTTTTTCTCTTTGTTATACTCATATTCTTTACATCATTAAACATATTTTAAAGCTTTATATTATCTTTTTAAAGCTAATTCCACCATCAGTACCATTTTGTTTTGTTTCTATTGGTTTATTTTTCTTCTAGTTATGAGTTATATTTTCTTCTTTCATGCCTAATAATTTTTGTTTGGTTGTTGGACATTTTATGTTTCTGAGCACTAGATTTTATTACTTTAAAGAGTGTTTGATTTTGTTATCTATGATTAAGTTACCTGAAGATTAAATTGATCCTTTTGAGACTTACCTTGAAGCTTTGCTATGGGCTAAAATGTAGCTGTACTAAGTTGGGACCCTTTAGAGGACTTTACCCCATACCCTGTGTCTTAAAGATTACAACAGTCTGGCTAATGGTAATGTGAACTATTCCTAGATCTATGTGAATGTTAGGATGCATTTGTAGAGGCCTTTTCAAATACTAATTTTATTTTTATTTCTCTTTCTGACATTTAGTACTATGTTCAACTCCATGTGTAAATATTCCTGCCTCTCCATTTATGCAGAAGCTTGGCTTTGGTACTGGGGTAAATGTTTACCTTATGAAAAGGTGAGTATAAGATTTCAGATTAACCTTTTCACAAGGAACCATAGTTCTGTAGTTGGAGACAACAAGGATATTAAATTTATATGCTTAAATTGGAATCCTACTTGATCCTACCTGACTACTGTATTCCAGAACCTTTATTAACTCTTCCAGAGCATTAGCTGGCATACTTTTCTCTAGCTGGATTACTAAAAATCTTCCGAGAAAATATACAATTTACATGTTTCTCATTTGTATGCTTATTATTATCTATTTAAACTCAAATGCACGTCTTCAAACATGTACTGAAGAGGTGTAAGATGAATCATTCAGTATAGGATTGCAATATTTGTTGATGAAGAGCACTTTTTTATTTTTGGATAATTGAATGTGGGGCAAATTTTTTTTGTGATTCTTCCTTAAATGAAATTTCTTTGCGATTACTGTTTATTACTTCAGCATTCCATAACTCATCTCTGGTACATATAGTTTAATGTTTGATAAATAGTTGGTAGTGTCACATGCTTGACTGGAAAAGTTAGAAAACAGTGTAGAATTTACAATCTTAAAATCCCATTCTTATCCTCTCTATCCCCTCCGTTTCAGTGTATACATAGCAGATTTCTCTTCGTATATCAGAAATACATCTTCTGGTTAAAAAAGACACCTAGCAGAAGTAGTGATGTTGTTGTTGTTGTTGTTGTTGTTGTTATGTGCCGTCGAGTCAGCCCCGACTCATAGCGACCCTCCTTGGGTTTCTGAGGTGGTATCACTATGGAAGTAGATTGCCCAACCTTCCTTCTGAGGAGTGGCTGGTGGTTTTGAACCACCAGCCTTCTGGTTAGCAGTCAAGTGCTTTAGGCACTATGCTACCAAAGCGTAGTGATAGTCAAAAATATTTTAAATATTGCCTTTTTAAAATGACAAATTAGTATCAAGTCCTTTTTAAAATTTAGAAGTTCTTATTAATCGTTTGAAAATGTATTACGGTTTTTATTCTTTTCTATATAGTTTTTTTTTTTTTTTTACTTTTTTTAGTAATATTTTACTTTGTTTTTGGTGAGAATTTACTCAGCAAGTTAGGTTCCCATTTCCAGTTTCCACACAAACTGTTCAATGACATTAGTTACATTTATCACAATGTGCCAACATTTTCTTTGTGTTCAGTTCTATTCCTAGTACTCTCCTTTCCCTGCCCCCTCCTCATCTTTGCTTTTGAGTAATTGTTGACTTTTGATCTCATAATGATGATTTTTATGTAGAGCACTGATCTTATAAGTTGTTGTTGTTATGTGCCGTCATGTCAGACCTGACTCATAGCGACCCCTCCTTGGGTTTCCGAGGCACTATCACTATGGAAGTGGATTGCCCCATCTTCCTTCAGAGGAGTGGCTGGTGTGTTTGAATCGCTAGCCTTCTGATCAGCAGTCAAGTGCCTTAGGCACTATGCTACCAGAGCTCCAGATCTTATAAGTAGTATCTTTTTATTTTGTGTGCCCCTCTGCTATTTCACTAAAAGGTGCTCTTAGGAGATAGGCTCAGTTCTAGGTTTAAAGGGTATCTCAGGTCTCAAGGAGTCCTCTGTTCTTTACTGTTCCAGTTTGTCTTTTTTATAAAAGAAATAAATAATAATTTTAGATCTATTCCACATTATCTCCCATTCTATCTGGGACCTACTGTCATGACCCTGATCAGAAGGGTTAGTGGTGTTACTGGACACCATCTAGTTCTTCTGGTCTCAGAGTAAGTAGGTAAGTTGTGGCTCTTACAGACTTTTTTTTCTCTGCACTTTTAGTTACCTTCTTACTGTTTTACTCCTAGCAAGTTGAGTCTGGTAGTTGTGGGTTAGATGACCATTCACAAGCTTTTAAGATCCCAGATGCTACTCACTTCACAGGGATGCAGATCATGATCTTTGTGTACTATGCTATGACAGTTGACATGAATTATCCCATGAGACTATGGTCCTAAGCCTTCAAACCCAGGAAACTAACATTGGAAGGTGTTTGGTTATATCTGAGGAGTATCTGTATTTGTATCTTCAATGAATATATGTGCTTGCATCCATATACTTATAGTTACATGGAGGCAGTTCGTTACATATATCTATAGATACTTCTATAGTAGCTCTACTGGGAGGAACTCTGGTGGTGCAGTGGTAAGGCATTTGGCTGCTAATCAAAAGGTTGGTGGTTCAAACCACCAGACGCTCCATGGGCGAAAGATGAGGCAGTCTGCTTCTGTAAATATTTACAGCTTTGGAAACCCTATGGGGCATTTGTTCTCTGTCTTGTAGGGTCAACTTGATGGCAGTGGGTTTTTGGGTACAGACCCCATCAATCTGAAGTGTTCCCCTCACCTCCTGTCCTTGCAGTTCCTCCTAGTCCTAGAGTCACTGTCCATCTTGGGTCTCATTGAGATTTAACAGCACTCAGCAATGCCGTGATCTCCCTTCATTTCTCAATTGCATGGCCCACAAATCCCATGGAAATTTGTGCTGCCTTGAAAAAATCGAGTTACCGCTTCCTCATATTAGCTCCCTTTCTTTGTTCCCTGTTTGGGGTGGTCCCCAGCCCCATCCCAAAATGATTGTAATGAGTGAGCACTCTCAGTGTTAGCAGGTAGGTTTTCCCAGTTTCTGTGCCATTCCTATATCTTTTCTCCCCTGCTTCTGACCTCACCTTGACTCCCCAACACCTCAGCTGCCATTAAGAGTTCTGCTTTCTCAGTCTATGCATTTTTTATTCATTATTGGAAACCCAAGGAGGGGTCGCTATGAGTCAGGTCTGACTCGATGGCACATAACAACAACAACAACATTCCATCAGTAGTTTCTGGGAGACAAAATGGGAACCTCCCCTCACGTCTTGATCTGCCTTGTTCTGTATACTTAATTTTTTTCTTTTTTCTTTTAGGTCTCCAAGAGGTTTATCTCATTCTCCTTGGGCTGTGAAAAAGATTAATTCTAAATGTAATGATCAATATCAAAGTATGTATCAAAAGAGACTAACTGATGAAGCTAAGATTTTGAAAAATGTTCATCATCCAAACATTGTAGGTAAGTTTAAATTTTATTCGATGGTAGTATCTGGCATAATATTATTCTTATATCCCAAAATAGTTTAGGTAATCTCTTAGCTAGTTTCACTAATAAAAATGAAGAAGATGGGGTGATTGGGATAGAGGTTGGCATACCAGAAACAAATCAATGAGAAAATTTTAAAATAAAATATAGTATTCAGTATTTTTAGATGTACAATTATATATTTAACTTGCTGGGAATAGATATAGTCATTATGGTAATGGTATTTTGGAGAATTCAGGAATATAAAGTGATCTTCATTTAACTAATTTCTCGTTTCCATTTTGTATTTTTCATACAATAGAGCTGGTAAAACTATTGTATTTAGGGAAGCATAGAGTAATAAAATTTTTTTTCATCTGTGGTGTTATTGGCAAACATTGAAGGCATTTTAATTTTGATCTACTGAACTAATTTTTTAAGTAGTATCTGTTTCATTGTTTGTCAGTGTTCATGTTAGTTCAGAATGTCTTCAGTTACTTTACTGTAAAAAACTTAAGTAATGTTGTCCTTCCTAGTCTAGTAAGAAATTGTCCCACTTTCTTTAAGGTTATCGTGCTTTTACTGAAGCCAGTGATGGTACTCTATGTCTTGCAATGGAATATGGAGGTGAAAAGTCTCTAAATGACTTAATAGAAGAACGAAGTAAAGACAGCGGAGATCCTTTTCCAGCAGCCATAATTTTAAAAGTTGCTTTGAACGTGGCGAGAGGGTTAAAGGTAACTATGCCATTATATTTTAAATGAGTTTTGTGGAATATGAAAAAACTAAGTACCGGCAGTTCCTGGGATATAAATGATCCACTCCTGACTGTGTCTTTAAGAATTTGTAGGTAAGGTGGAACAGGTGCGTATGTTGTTAGTGTTGTTGTTAGGTGCCGTCAAATTGGATCTGACTCATAGCAACCCTGTGTACAACAGAATGAAACACTTCCTGTTCCTGCACCATCCTCACAATCCTTGCTATGCTTGAGCCCATCATTGCAGCCACTGTGGCAATCCATCTCGTTGATGGTCTTCCCCTTATTCGCTGACCCTCTGCTTTACCAAACATGATACCCTTCTCCAGAGAATGGTCCCTCTGTCCCTTCTGACTGCATGACCAAAGTAGGTGAAACAAAGTCTGGCCATTCTTACTTCCAAGCAACATTCTAGCTGCACCTCTTCCGGGACACATTTGTTTGTTCTTCTGTCAGTCCATGGTATTTTCCGTATTCTTCCCCAGCACCACAATTCAAAGGCATCTACTATCCTTTGGTTTTCCTTATTCATTGTCCAGATTTCACATGCATGTGAAGCAACTGAAAATACCATGTCTTGGGTCAAGTGCATCTCAGTCTTCATCTTTCTTCATAGTGACATCTTTGCTTCTTAACACTTTAAAGAGGTCTTTTGCAGCAGATTTTCCCAGTGCAGTACAATGTGCTGCTTCCAATGGTGTTGACTGTGGATCCAAGTAAAATGAAATCCCTGACAACTTCAGTCTTTTCTCCATTTATCATGATGTTGCTTTTTGGTCCATTTGTGAGGATTTTCATTTTCTTTCTGTTGAGATGTAATCCATACTGCAGACTGTAGTCTTTGATCTTCATCAGTAAGTGCTTCAAGTCTTCTTCACGTTCAGCAAGCAAGGTTGTGTCATCTGCATATCGCAGGTTGCTAATGATTCTTCCCCAATCCTGATGCCTCATTCTTCTTCATATAGTTCATCTTCTCATATTATTTGCTTAGCATACACATTGAATAAGTATGGTGAAAAGATACAACCTTGATGCACACCTTTCATTGTGATGCACACAAATGATTTTGGAGCATGCAGTTTCCCCTTGTTCTGTTCAAATGACAGCCTACTGGGATAAGTACAGATTCCTCCATGAGAACAATTAAGTGTTCTGGAATTCCTGTTCTTTGCAACATTATCCATAATTTGTTTTGATCCACACAGTCAAATGCCTTTGTATAGTCAATAAAACACAGGTAGACATCTTTCTATTATTCTTTGCTTTCAACTAAGATCCATCTGACATCAGTAGTGATATCTCTCGTTCCGTGTCCTCTTCTGAATCCAGCGTGCATTTCTGGAAGTTCCCTGTCAATACCTTGTATTTTTTGAAAGATCTTCAGCAACATTTTACTAGTGTGTGATACTGATGATACCATTTGACACATTCTTTCAGATCACCTTTCTTTGGATGGGCACAAATATCAAACTCTTCCAGTCAGTTGGCCAGGTATTCCAAATCACTTGGCATAAATGAGTAATTGCCTCCAGCACAACATCCATTTGTTGAAATATCTCAATAGGTATTCCATCAATTCCTATTTTTCACCAATTTCTTAGTGCAGTTTGGACTTCTTCCTTCAGTACCATTGGTTCTTGATCATATGCTATCTCCTGAAGTACTTGAACATTGACTAATTCTTTTTGATACAGTGACTCTATGTATCCCGTCTTCTTTTGATGCTTCCTGTATCATTCTGTATTTAGCCCATAGAATCTTTCAGTATTGCAACTTGGCACTTGAATTTTTTCTTCCGTTATTTCAGTTTGAGAAATGCCGAGTATGTTGTTGTTGTCAGGTGCCGTTGAATCAGCTCCAATTCTCAGTGACCCTGTGTACAACAGAAAGAAACACTGCCTGGTCCTGTGCCAGCCTCACAATCCTTGCTATACCTGAGCCCATTGTTGTAGCCAATGTGTTGATCCATCTCTTTGAGGGCCTTCCCCTTCTGACGCTCCACTTTACCAAGCATTATATCCTTCTCCAGGGAATGGTCCCTATTAACAACATGACCAAAGTAGGTGAGATGAAGTATGGCCATTCTTGCTTCCAAGGAGCATTCTGGCTACACTTATTCAGGGCAGGTTTGTTCATTCTTTTGGCAGTCCATGGTACTTTAGGTATTCTTTGTCAACACCATGACTCAAAAGCATCAACTCTTCTTCAGTCTTCCTTGTTCATTGTCTAGCTCTCACATGCCTATAAACTGATTGAAAGTACCATAGCTTGGATTAGGTGCACCTTAGTCCTCAAGGAGACATTTTTGCTCTTCAGCACTTGAAAGAAGTCTTTTGCAGCAGATTTGCCCAATGCAATACATCGTCTGATTTCTTGACTGCTGCTTCCATTGGTGTTGATTGTGGATCCAAGTAATATGAAATCTGTGACAACTTCAATCTTTTCTCATTTTATTGGCCCAGTTGCGAGGATTTTCATTTTCTTTACGTTAAGATGTAATCCATGCTGCAGACTGAAGTCTTTAGTAAGTGCTTCAAATCATCCTCACTTTCAGCAAGCAAAGTTGTATCATCTGCATATCTCAGGTTGTTAATGAGTCTTCCTCCAATCTTGATGCTACATTCTTCTTCATATAATCTAGCTTCTCAGATTATTTGCTCAGTTTACAGACTGAATAAGTATGGTGAAAGGATACAACCCTGACACACTTCGTTCCTGATTTTAAACCATGCAGTATCCCTTTGTTCTGTTTGAATGACAGCCTTCTGGTCTATGTACAAGTTCCTCATGAGTACAATTAAATGGTCTGGAGTTCCCATTCTTCTCAACGTTATCCATAATTTGTTATGATGCACACAATTGGATGCTTTTGCATAGTCAATAAAACACAAGTAAATATCTTTCTGGTATTCTTTGCTTTTAGCCAATATCCATCTGACATCAGCTATGATATACCTTGCTCCACTTCCCCTTCTGAATCCAGCTTGCATTACTGGAAGTTCTCTGTCAATATACTACTGCAACTGTTTTTGAAATATCTTCTGTAAGATATTACTTGCATGTGATATCAATAATATAGTTCTATAATTTCCATATTGTGTGGGATCACACTTCTTTGGAATGGGTACAAAGACGGATCTCTTTCAGTCAGTTAGCCAGGTAGCTATCTTCCAAATCTCTTGGTATAACCAAGTGAGTATCTCCAGCTTTACATCCGTTTGTTGAAACATCTCAATGGGTATTCCATTAATTCCTGGAGCCTTGTTCTTTGCCAATTCCTTCAGTGCAGCTTCAACACATTCCTTCATATACCATTGATTATATGCTACCTCCTGAAATGGATGAACATTGACCAATTCTTTTTGGTATAGTGAGTCTGTGCATTCCTTCCATCTTTGGATGTTTCCTGCATCATTCAATATTTTGCCTATAGAATCTCTCAATATTGCAACTCGAGGCTTAAATTTTTTTCTTCCATTCTTTCAGCTTGAGAAATGCCGAGCATGTTCTTCCTTTTGATTTTCTAACTCCAGGTCTTTGCACATCTCATTGTAGTACTTTACTTTGTCTTCTCAAGCTGCCCTTTGAAATCTTCTATTCATTTATTTTATTTCAGCATTTCTTCCATTTGCTTTAGGTACTCTCCATTCAAGAACAGGTTTCAGATTATCTTCTGACATCCATTTTGGCCTTTTCTTCCCTTCCTGTCTTTTTAATGGTCATTTGGTTTCTTCAAAATCTGTAATGCTTTTGATGTCATCCCACAACTTGTCCGGTGATTGGTCATTGGTGTTCCATACTTCAAATATATTCTTCAGATGGTCTCTAAAATCAGTTGAGACATAATCAAGGCCGTATTTTGTCTCTCATGGACTTACTTTAATTTTCTTCAGCTTCAACTCGAACTTGAATATGAGCAGTTGATGATCTGTTCCACAGTCAGGTCCTGGGATTATTTTGGCTGAAGATATTGAGCTTCTCCATCACCTCTTTGTGCATAAAATGTAGTTAATCTCATTTCTGTGTATTCCAGCTGGCAAGGTCCATGTATATAACCACCATTTATGTTGTTAAAGAAACATATTTACATTGAAGACTTCATTGGTCTTGCAAAATTCTATCATGTGACCTCTGGTGTCATTTCTATTACCGGCATCATATTTTCCAACTACTGATGATTCTTCTTTGTTTCCAATCTTCTCATTCCAATCACCAATAATTATCAGTACATCTTGATTGATGTTTGGTCAATTTTAGACTCCAGAAATTGTAAAAATCTTCAATTTCTTCACCTTTGGCTTTAGTGGTTGGTGTGTAACTTTGAACAATAGTCGTATGAACTGGTCTTTCTTGTGTGTGTATGGATATTATCCTATCATTTTCAGCATTTCACTTCAGAGTAGATCTTAAGATGTTCTTTTTGATAATGAGTGCAATTCCATTCCTCTTCAGGAATAAATGAAGGTCCCGAAAGCTTTGCTCCATTCGTGTCATTAAGATTGCCTCCAATTTGAGGAGACAACTCTTCCCTAGTCTTATTTTGAGTGCCTTCCAACCTGAGAGGCTCATCTTCCAGCACTGTATCTGACAATGTCTCTGGCTAATTTTTTTCAGGGGTAGACTGCCTCTTCCTTCTTCCAAGTCTGTCTTAGTCTGGAAGCTCCACTGAAAACCATCCACCATGAGTGACCCTGCTGGAATTTGAAATACTGGAGGCATAGCCTCCAGCCTCATAGCAGCATACAAGACACCATAGTATGACAGACTGAGAGATGTGTGGTTCTTTAGTGCATATAGCCTTATTTTAGTGAAGAAAAAGGAGCTCTGGTGCTATAGTGGTTAAGGGATGGCTGCTAACCAAAAGGTCATTGGTTTGAACCCACCAGCTGCTCCCCAGAAAAAAGATGAGGCAGTCTGCTTCCATAAGATTTACAGCCTTGGAAACCCAGTGGGTGTCGCTATGAGTCGGAATCGACTCAATGGCAATGAGTTTGGTTTTTGATTTCATGAAGGGAAAGGAACTTGCTGGTGTGATGAGGAAGTCTTTCAGCTGTGAATCAAAACAGTGGTGTGACCTACCAGCTGCTCTGTGGGAGAAAGATGAGGCATACTACTTCATAAAGATATACAGCCTAGGAAACCTTATGGGGCAGTTCTACTCTGTCCTGTTGGGTTGCTATGAGTCAGAATTGACTCCATGGCAGTGGGGTTGTTGTTTTTTTGGGGGGAGTTTGTTGTTATATGCTGTTGAGTCAGACTCGACTCATAGTGACCACCCCTCCTTGGGTTTCCGAGGTGGTATCACTACAGAAGTAGATTGCCCGGCCTTCCTTCCAAGGAGTGGCTGGTGGGTTTGAACTGCCAGCCTTCTGGTTAGCAGTCAAATGCCTTAGGCAAGAAAAGGCCAGAAACCTTTCCACTGATTAAAACTGCACGTGCAGCAAGTGAAGGTGATTATAGTGAAGAATTTACTGTGAATATGGTTCAATCATAAAAAAGTGAGGGCAATTTACATAAAATTAAAGGATTGGTATGAGTTGTCAGTAAGTCTTACATTCATAACCTACGCACTGCCTGTACTTTCTATATAAGATGGGCTTTGTTTATTTTTTCTCCCAAAAGAGGGAGTTGCCTTATGTTAAAGTCTTTATAATAGTATATAGTGGAGATGCAGTATTCTTTATTTTGATTAGCAAAATATTATTTGGGGAATTAACATAAGCCTGAAATAATCTCAGACAGGTACTTACAGAGATTACCTGTTAGATTTCATTAAAAAGGTCAATAAATTTAACACAAATTTAATAATTATTTTGGGACCTAATCCCATATTGATGTAAACAGGTCTCTTAAAGATCTTTGAAATGTTGAGTTTTAACATCATGAGTGATATTTTGGACATCTAAGTACAGATCAAGTGAAAAAAGCTTTGTGGCATGCTAATGAAATATGTCTTTGACTAAAATGCCAAAAAACTTATAAAACAAAGTATAGAATAAAAATATTTGATATCCTACATGACTTAAAATAAGGAGACCTCTAGATAATGATGACTTAGATGATAAAGTTGCATGTCAGGAATTCAAATAAAAATGATTTATGAAACATGAGATTGGAAAAGCCAATATTCTAAATGTCTCTAACACTTTTACAGAAAAACCATGATTTTAGATGGATAGATTAAACTAAATTAATAATTATTTCATAAATAATAATATAAAATGCGTATGTATAATAGAATAAATAAATCACATTGTAAATTTATTTGGGCATATTGAATTGATGTTTGGCAAAATTTAAATTAAGTACATTAATGTTCCTGAAAAAGAACAGATGTATACCAAGAATTGTCTCTCCATCATTTCTAGGCTTAGCTCGTAGAGTAGATATATAACAGATAATCTAATCTAACAAATAACAGTTTTGCATAACATTTTTATTGCAGGTGAATATAATTATTTGTCAATTCCAAGAAGGGGTTAATGTGTAGAACAAAAGGTAGTCTTAGATTACGTTTCTCTTTTCCTTCTCATTGTAAATTCATGTGGATCTACTTCCTGTGTTGTCCTGATTTATCCTATCAATTTGAGGAAAATATGCCTCATTATGAAGATTCCAAAATTATTCCTAAAAATTACTAGCTTCAAGTAAAATTGCATTATATTTTTAAATTTGCACTAGCATCTTTTGATATAAAAATCCGTGTGATAGGTTTAAAAATAAAAGTTAACTTATCTATAAAGAGACATCTATCTCTGGAGAATCTTTTAGATTTCTGATCAGTATGGCATACTGAGCTATCACAGAATGTTCTCTTCTCTGGCTTCAACTAATTTGAAATGACAGGCATATATAAACCTGTAGTTTAGAAAGGGAGTTCAAGTTGTCATTTTTGTTTTGACATCGTTGTATTTATTAGTTTGCATTTCTGCTCATGCATTTAAAATTTTTCACTTTTTTAGTATCTGCACCAAGAAAAGAAACTGCTTCATGGTGATGTAAAGTCTTCAAATGTTGTAATTAAAGGTGATTTTGAAACTGTTAAAATCTGTGATGTAGGTGTCTCTCTTCCATTGGATGAAAATATGACTGGTAAGTAGTAGTATAATTTTTTAAATTTTGTTTGTATAAAATTTTTAAATTTCTAACTCTTACTTTATTTGGGGAAGGCAGATAAGTAATAAATTTACATGGTTTAAAAATGCGAAACTATTTTTAAAAGTATGTAATGAAATTTTCCTTTCCTGTCTTTCTTCCACTTAGCCTCCAGCCCCCTTCCCTGCCACACACATGATATAGAATGTTGATTTCTTATTAATATATACATATATTTTTTTTTTCCCCAGATTGAGGTAGTGCTTTATTTCAGCTGTCTGTACGAAGGAAAATAATGTGCATCCGTATCATATATGTGTAAAAATACTAAGAATATACAGTGTACAAAACAGTTTCTTATAGTTATTTCAAATCCTTGTGGGTCATATAGTTAAGGAAATAAACAGTTTTAGTATGACCAACAGTAATAGTAATACGGTTTCTTGGGTTCATAGTCAAGTCTGCTTGAAATCCTTAACCAGATGACTAGATCTTGCATGGATCTAATTAAAGAGCTAGCAAGGTCAAGAAATGTCACAAACTATAAAGCTACAGAGAAGTAATTCGATTACCAATTTAGAGATTTTCTTATTAATATATATTTGAATTCACGATAACTTTGGGAAATATTTCTAAACTAGATTAACAGATTTGAAAAGAAAATTACATAGTCATTTCAGTAGATACAGAAAAATAATTTGACAAAATCCAGTACCCATTCATGATGAAAACACCCAGTCAACAAGAAATAGAAGGAAAGTTAGCCTACAAAAATCCAACAGCTAATCTTATCAGCTCACTCACTGTCATCTAGTCCATTCCAACTTATAGTGACTAGTAACCCCCATTGGGTTTCCAAGACTATAAATCTTTACAGAAGCAGACTGCCTCATCTTTTTCCCACAGAGCAGCTGGTGGGTTTGAACCACTGACGTTTGGTTAGCACAAATGCTTTAACCACTCCACCACCAGAGCTCCTAATGCCATACTTAAATAAGGAATAAGGTGAGGGTGCCTGCTCTCACTAGTTTTGTTTAACATTGTCCTATTGTTGTTACATGTCATTGAGTTGATTCCAGCTCATAGCAACCCTATGTATAACAGAACGAAACACTGCGTAGTCCTGTGCCATCCTCGCAGTCCTTGCTATACTTAAAGCTCCTCATTGCCTCTGTGGCAATCCATCTTGTTGAGGGTCTTCCCCTTTTCAGCTGACCCTCTGCTTTACCAAGCATGTTGTCCTTCTCCAGGGAATGGTCCCTTCTGACTACATGACCAAAGTAGGTGACACAAAGTCTGACCATTCTTGCTTCCAAGGAGCATGCCAGCTGTACTTCTTCCAGGACAAAATTTGTTCATTCTTCTGGCAGTCCATGGTATTTTCAGTATTCTTTGCCAGCACCACAATTCAAAGGCATCAGCTCTCCTTCGGTCTTCCTTATTCATTGTCAGCTTTCACATGCATATGAGGTAATTGAAAATACCAAGGCAGACCTTACTCTTCAAAGTGGAATCTTTGTTTCTTAATGCTTTAAAGAGGCCTTTTGCAGGAGATTTGCCCAGTGCAGTGTGATGTCTGATATATTGACTGCTATTTCCATGGGTGTTGATTGTGGATCCAAGTAAACATTGTCCTATAGTCCTCGCAATTAAAATAAAGGAAGAAAATAAACAAAAGGCATTAAGATTGGAAAAGAAATGGAACTATCCCTATAATACTTGATAGAATGTTTAGATAGAAAATTCCAAAGAATCTAGCAAACAACTACTAGAACAAATATGTATTTCTATATAATAGCATCAAATAATTAGAAAGTGTCATTTTTTAAAATTCGATTTACAAGTGCCAAAAAACATAAAATGCTTAAGGATAAATCTAATACAAGAAGGACTTCCGGTAAGATGGCGGAATAGGTAGACAAGCTGCACAGACCCTCTTCAACAAAGAAAACAGAAACCAGTTGACAGATGCAGAAGATAATCCTGGAGCCCAGATCTTTGAAAGAAAGTACACAGAAGTGGAAAAACCTGAATGAAAACAATGAGTATGGAGATGGTCGGAGCAGTGGACTGTCAGCTACTGTGACAGGACCAACAGCCTGAATATTTCCAAGGGGTGTTGGGACCTGAGACTTGACCTAAAGATCAGTCCTGGTTGCCAAGGCCTGCAGGGATGACTGTGTTTGTGGCCTATGACTAGGGAGGGAAACAGCAAAGAGAGAGACAACCTGAGCTGTGGACTTGGGGTTGTGTGGAGGGCGCAGCCATTTTGGATATTTAAAATGACCAGGGCACAGCCATTTTGAATGTTTATAAGAGGTGGCCATCTTGGATTCTAAAGTGATAGCATTCTCATTTGGATTCCAGGGGCCTAAGAATAGCCTCTGTTTGCCAAGGACAGCAGGGATATACAGGAGGCTGACAATGGGAAAGGAGACAAATGGTGAGTGTATAAGTGCTGCCAACTAGCGAATAGAGGAGCACAGCACAGTACCCTGCTTACATAGATAACATACAAACAAAACAAAACAAAACAAAAAAGGTGGGCAAGTCACTTCAACATAAAATTGCCAATTAAATATAAACGCAAAAATGTCACAATGCCTTGGAGACAACAGGGCATCACGGTGCACACAAAGAAGCAAGATAAAGCAGGAGAAACATGGGACCAGGATACAGACCCAAAACACATCCCTGAGGAAGATGCAGCATTGAACTCCCTGATAAGGAATTCAAAAGAATTATATTTAGGTACCTTCAATGAATTGAGAGAGAGATCGAGGAAGACACAGACAAAATTGAGGAAAACAGAAAAAAACCTAAAAAACAATTTTGAAAGACAATACAAGAACAAAATGACAAAATAAATGAAAAATTTAAAATGATACAAAATCTACACACAGAAATCCAGAAGATTAATACTAAATTTTCTGAAATACATAACACATTGAATGGTCAAAGGAGTAGAACTGAATCAATGGAAGACAAAATTAGTGAGATTGAAGGCAAATACCTCAATACATTTTTGGAAAGGGATTGATCAAAAAAAGATCAAAACAAAATGAAGAAAGCCTAAGGTTCATGTGGGGTAACATCAAAAGAGTAACCTATGTATAATTGGAATTGCAGAACAGAAAGACAAAAAGAAAACCAGTGAGAAAATTGTCCAAGACTTGTTGGACAAGAACTTCCCTGATATGATGAAAGATGAGAATATATCCATTCAGGAAGTCCAAGGAACCCCAAATGGGATAGACCCCAAAAGAAAATCGCCAAGACACATCATCATCAAACTCAGCAAAACCAAAGACAAAGAAAGAATTCTGAAAGCACAGGAAAAATGAAAAGTTCCTTACAAGGAGCAACCAATAAGACTAAGCTCAGATTTCTGAGCAGAAACCATGCAGGCAAGAAGACAATGGGATGGTATATATAAAACATTGAAAGAGAAAAATTTCCAACCAAGAATTAAGTACCCAGCAAAACTGTCCCTCGAATATGATGGTGGAATTAGGACGTTTCCAGATAAGCACATATTGAGGGAATTTGTTAAAACCAGACCAACCTTACAAGACATGTGAACCAACAACAGCAAACGACAACCAGCCATTAACACGCATAATGACATAACCCAGAAACCAATGCAGTTATAGAAATATCCAAAGTAATTAAGCCTATGAGATTGTATACAGGAAACCAGAGACATCAATTAACAAATGAGGACAACTAAAAACCAAACAGGGGAAAAATCTGTGTGATTACAGAACTTCTAAATGGTAGGGAAGTCGAGACAACTGCAAGATAGACTAGACTGTTCTAAACTTGGGAAGAAAATTATAAATCACAGGGTAACCTCAAAGAAAAATGATAAACTTTACATCAGAATAGAAAAGAAGACAAGCAAATACTAAAACAATAGCAACGAAGGAAGTGATAACACAATTCATAAACAAAATGAGGTGAGCACAGAAAATTATATGAAACAAAGAAATCAACACCACGAAAAAACACGTAACAAAATGATAGCAACAAATTCATACTTGTTGATAATTACATATCTGACCAGGGGCTTATCTCTAAAATTTACTGAAAACTCCAACACCTCAACAACAAAAAGATTAACAATCCCATTTAAAAATGGGCAGAAGACATGAATAGATATTTCACCAAAGAGAATATTCAGGCAGCTAGCAAATGCATGAAGAGATGCTCACGATCATTAGCCATCAGAGAGATGCGAATCAAAGCAACAATGAGATACCATCTCACCCCAGCAGAAGTGGCAAAGTTCAACAAAACAGATAATAACAAATACTGGTGATGATATGGAGAGATTGGGGATCTCATACACTGCTGGTGGGACTGTCAAATGATACAACCACTGTGGAAAACAGTATGGTGATTCCTTAAAAAGCTGGAATTAGAAATACCATTTGACCCAGCAATTCTGTTACTAGGTGTATACCCTAAAGAAGCGAGAACCAGGACAATAACAGATGTATGCATACCCATGTTCATTGAAGCACTATTTACAATAGCAAAAAGATGGAAACAAACTATGTGTCCATCAGCAGAATGGATAACCAAATTATGGTTTATATGCACAATGGAATGCTATGCAACACTGAAGAATAATGTAGAATCTGCAGAACACCACACAACATGGATGAACTTGGAGGACATTATGCTGAGTAAAATAAGTCAATCACAGAAGGGCAAATATAGTATTAGTTAATTATTGCAAAAAGTCAAGGAAAGGTTTATATATGGAAGGAAACTTTCTTTGTTGGTTACGGGTGGGGAGGGAACATTGCAAAAAAAGAAAAATGCATTGACCCATGTCACTTTAGTTTTGTGCATTTCACTGTATGTAAATCATCTTTCAAGAAAAAGCATTAAAAAAAAAAAAAAACTAACAAAAGAAGTCTAAGACCTCAACATTGAAAAATATATCACTGCAAAAATAAGATCTATGTGAATGGAGAGATACTAAGATTTAATTCTTCCCTAAATGATATAGAGATTCAATGTATTCCCAAACTCCTGCTGGTTGCTTCTTTGATGTTGACAAGTTGACTCTAAAATTTAAGTGGAAATGGGAGTGAACCTGTGTATTCGTATGTTGAAGCTTTAAGTATCAATATGTGATTCGACCCTTTCCATTTTCCTTGACTAGAAGCTCTCTGAGCCTAATGACATGGCATAATTCAAAAACAATAAAGGAACTGGGGCATAGAAATGAAGTGATCTGTTCAAGGTCATACAGCTTGCAAGTGTCTTTGAGTCTAGATAGTCTGGCTCCAGAGTCTGTTCTTCTAACATCTCCACACTCTATTTATATTCCTACCACTTTTCTAAGAGAATTCCCGTTTCCCTACATCCCTGCCAACTAACCACCGTTTTGAAGATTTACCAGCCTGATAGGAAAAAGTAATCCTAATTAGTGAGGTTGAGTACATTTTCACATTTATTGCCTGCATTTGCGTCTGTTCCAATTGTTTGCCCATTTTTCTTTGGATTGCTTAACTTTCTTCATTTATAGTGCCTCCCCTTAAGACCATTTGACCTATATTTAACTCTTTCAGTGACCGACCCTGAGGCCTGTTACATTGGCACTGAGCCGTGGAAACCCAAGGAAGCTTTGGAGGAGAATGGTATTATTACTGACAAAGCAGATATATTTGCCTTTGGGCTTACTCTGTGGGAAATGATGACTTTATGTATTCCACACATTAATCTTTCAGATGATGATGAAGGTATGAATATATACATTTCAAACCCATTATCTTCACTTTGAACTAAACTGAAGATAACATATAAAGTATGTTATCTTCCATTAAGATAAAATTTAAAAAGCAATTTGTTTGATTTAGGGACTAGTTTAGAAGATATAGATTATATTAATACCGATGACTGTTAGGTATTGTCTAGGTTTAATCTCATACAAATGAGATGTGGATTGATTGAGGATAGGGAATTATGAGAAAATCTGTAAGAGCCAAAGATTATAAAGATTCCTTTTGCCTGAGAAAAAGATCAGAAAACTGTGAGGAAGTGGATAAGGGTTGAAAACCTATAAATCAAAGCCAATACCTAAGCTATGCTGATGGACAATTTAAGAGACTGCTCATGGTGTAATAGAAAGTATACTGGACAATTAAGTCTAGTTTCAGAAGTGTGAGCCTGAACAGATACTAAGATTTTCCATGACTTAAAGTGATTTTGTTGTTTCAATCTCCAACTTCTTCATGAACAGATAAAACTTTTGATGAAAGTGACTTTGATGATGAAGCATACTATGAAGCTTTGGGAACTAGGCCACCTATTAATATGGAAGAGCTGGGTGAATCGTACCAGAAGGTTATTGAACTCTTCTCTGTATGCACTAATGAAGATCCCAAAGATCGTCCTTCTGCAGCACACATCGTTGAAGCTTTGGAAGTGAATGCAGAGTGAGCATCTCATTTTCATGGCTCACCGTGAAGTATGGCTCATGTCTGTAACTCTTTTGTTTACTGTAATACATTTATATAGTTACTGTGATAATCCATAATTATTAGGCTCTTTGGAAGTGGCCTATTTTAGGACCATAGCACCTTGGTAACATTTGCATAACCATTTCTAGTATTAGGGTATTTCTTATATGCATATGATGATAAGCATTTGGAAATATAGTGGGTTTTCTATGAAATTTATGAAACTAACTACTCAAATACTTTTGTCTAAATTAATTTGGATTGAGTGGCCATTATTTTTATTAATAATCTTTCCCAAATATTCTCTGTTTTAATGAATCTATGGCAATTGCTTATATTTTAAAACATTAAACCTTTTGCTATCCTTTCTTGGCTGGTGTACTTATTAAATACAGTCCCTGGAATCTGAGAGAACATGGCTCAAAAGAGTAGCTCCCTGGGTATTTCCAGATCTTTTATTGTTGAGTAAGAAAGATTTATAGCATACCCTACCCACTTGGATCTCCCTGATCTTTGATTTTTGCTCTAATTTATTAAATATATTTTCTGTGCTGAAATTCCCTTTTTATTTGCTAATTTATATCCTATGTATTTCGTGCTTTTAGTGTGAAAATAATAAAACTCATAGACTAAAGGACACTTTAGGTACCAAAAGCTATCTCTGCATTATTATTTTTTTAATACTTTTTAATACTTTAATGATTTGAGTGTTGTCATTAAACTTGTTAAATGAATGTGAGACTTTACCCGTTTGGCCTCCCTTTTTTTGTTCCTGTGAAATGGGCTTGATTTGGATCAGCAGTTTCTGTGAGCCAGAGCCTCTCGGGAATTTTCAAAGTTACTGAATTTTGCCTGTGAATCTGGGTGGTACGCCCAGACTTGCCAGTGGACAAACTTAAAGTTTATTGTCATGTAGAGGTTCTTAGAAAGATTAGGAACCACTGTACTCTTAAGTTTCAAAAAATTCCAAAATTTGCTAGAAGGTTTCTTTTAGTACAGGATATATTTGCCATTCATAATAGAATTTGTTAAGCTAACAAGTTTCTCCTAGCTCATTCTCTTCCTAGCAGAATAGCAAGTCTTGCTTGTCAGACAGACCATGGATTGAGACTTTAATACATGCAGTGAGCCCTGGTGATGCAGTAGTAAAAGTGATTGCAGCTAACCTAAAGGTCAGTAGTTCGAACCCACCTGCTGCATGGGAGGAAGATGTGGCAATCTGCTTCTATAAAGATTTATAGCCTTGAAAATCCTATGGAACAGCTCTACTCTGTCTTATAGCCTCACTGTAAGAATCAACTCGATGACAGTGTGTTTTAGTTTTAATACACGAACCAGTAGGTACTTTTTATTAAGATTTTTTTTTTTTATTTCCTATAACTGGCATGTTGTTGTTATGTGCCATCAAGTTGGACCTGACTCATAGCGACCCCTCCTTGGGTTTCCAAGGCAGTATCACTATGGAAGTAGATTGTCCAACCTTCCTTCCGAGGAGTGGTTGATGGGTTTGAACCACCAGCCTTCTGATTAGCAGTCAAGTGCCTTAGGCACTATGCTACCAGAGCTTCTATAATTGGCATATCTAAATGAAAAATTAATCCCTAGGACAGGGCTAGCAAATTTACACTTGTGCATGGCAATCATTATAAAATGATCCTAGCATGCTTTGTCTCTTGAATCTCGCTGTTGTTGTTAGGTGCCATCAAGTCATCTCTGACTCATAGCGACCCTTTGTACAACAGAAGGAAATGCTGCCTAGTCCTGTGCCAACCCCACAATCCTTGCTATACCTGAGCCCATCGTTGTAGCCACTGTGTCCATCCATCTTGTTGAGGGCCTGCCCCTTCTTCGTTGGCCCTCCACTTTACCAAGCTTGATATCCTTCTCCAGGGAATGGTCCCTTCTGACAACATGACCAAAGTAGGTGAGACGAAGTCTGGCCATTCTCGCGTCCAAGGAGCATTCTAGCTGCACTTCTTCCAGGACAGATCCTCAAAACTCTTAACCCAGGGTTCTAGACAGTCTTTACTCTTTAGGCAGCTATAAGAATACTTTTTATTCTCGCTCTAGAGTTTGCTCTTAGGTCTGAAATGTCACCTTCCATTGTCTCATTCTCAGAATAAAAGAATAATAACATGTAATTGATTGAAGATACAAAAGGACTAATCTTTTCTCTGAATTAATTAATAAATCAAAGTAACTTTCTCACCTTCTAGAATATCTTTTTCTTTACTATGAGTACACAGCCTCTGAATCTCTAAGTGGCTCAAATAGTTAAGCACTCAGCTGCTAACCAAAACATTGGCAGTAATAATCCATCAAAAGATACCTTAGAAGAAAGAAAGTCCTAATGATGCACTTCTCACAGCCATTGATGAAACCCTCTGGAGCACACTTTACTCTGACACACATGAAGTCATCATTATTGGAATCAACTTGATTGGCAATTTGTTTTTGATATTTTAATATGGCTGCTTTTATCCTGTTTGTACCTCTATGAAATGGAAATTATCAGTAGCTGCTTAAGAAATGTTAAAGATTATTCGTTGTTGCCTCCTGGTACTTCCTTAATCTTTCTTCTACAATTTGTTGATCAAATGTGAAAAATATACCATGCCCCACTTCAACTATTTTTCAATACATGTTATTTAACAAAGGGCTTATTTTAAAACCCACATATTTTATTATTAGGGACCTCTGGTGGCATAGTGCCTAAGACATTTGACTGCTAACCAGAAGGCTGGTGGTTCAAACCACTGGCCACTCCTCGGAAGGAAGACTGGGCAATCTACTCCCGTAGAGATACACCTCAGAAACCCAAGGAGGGGTCACTGTGAGTTGGAACCAACTCGATGGTAGTGAGTTTGTTTTTTGTTTTGTTTTATCATTTATTCCTGTTTAATTGATAGCACATAATAGGATTTCTGGTAGTATGTAACACAATGTGAAGCTCAAGCAATACTAAAAGTATCTCAGACTGATGTAATAAGTTTGGTCAACTTTCTCATGAATCTGTATTGAAATAAAATACTCTTACACTGGTCCACAGGTTGAATCAGTTGGTGTTCTGGTTACCTAGTGCCACTCTGACAAGAATAAACCACAAATGGGATGACCTTAACAAACAGGAGTTTATTCTTACAATTTGGAGCCTTTAAGTCCAAGTTCAAAGTGCCAGGCTCTAGGGGCAGAGTGAAAGTCCCTCAACCTTGGGGTTCAGCTCTGCCTCCTGCTCCCGGCCCACAGAAGCTAGAGGCTTTTCTTCACTCAGACAGCTGGTGGCTGCTGAGGCTGAGAAGCCCCAAGGTTGACAAGTAAAAAAGGCACAGTCCTGATATTACCAAACTACATGGCAGGCCATTAACTTAAGTCCATTGTAAGTCCCAAGGTCGGCAAAGCATAGCAGGCTGCTGAACAACAACACGGCTACATGCAGAGTCCAAGTGTGCCATAGGCTAGAGACCATTCCCAAAGCTACTGCTTATATGTGGAAGCAGACCACTTACCCAAAGCTGCTACTCAGCTGCTTGTGGTAGATCCCACCATGGAGTTGATTGCCTGTCTCATCATGGGGAATAACTACCACCAGTTGCCCAGCCACTCAACCAGGCCCAGCCAAGTTGACACACAAACATAACTACCACAGTTGTTGTTAGGTGCCGGTGAGTCAGGTCCGACTCATAGCAACCCCATGTGCAAAAAAATGCAACGCTGCCTTGTCCATCCTCACATAGTGAAATGCTATGCTTGAGCTGATTGCTGCAGCGGCTGTGTCAATTCATCTCATAGGGGGTCTTCCCCATTTTCATTGACCCTCTACTTTACCAGGAGTGATATCCTTCTCTAAGGACTCATCCCTTCTGACCACATGACCGAAGTAGGTGAGATGAAGTTTGGCCATTCTTGCTCTTAAGAATTCCAGCTGTACTTCTTCTGAGACAGATTTGTTCATTCTGCTGGCAGTCCATAGTATTTTCAGTTTTTTTTGCCAACACCACAATTCAAATGTATCAATTCTTCTTTGATCTTCCTTTTTCATTGTCCAGCTTTCACATGCATATGAGGCTGTTGAAAATATGGCTTGGGTCGGGTACCCCTTAGTCTTCAAAGTCACATCTTTGCTCCTTAATACTTTAAAGAGGCCTTTTTTAGTAGATTTGCCCAATGCAATACAGCCTCTGATTTCTTGACTGCTGCTTCCATGGGCATTGATTGTGCATCCAAGTAAAATGAAATCCCCGACAACTTCAATCCTTTCTCCATTTTTTGTGATGTTCCTTATTAGTCCAGTTGTGAGAATTTTTGTTTTCTTTATGTATAATTCATACTGAAGTCTGTAGTCTTTGATCTTCATCAGTAAGTGTTTCAAGTCATCTTCACTTTCAGGGAACCCAGGTTGTGCCATCTGCATATCGCAAGTTGTTAATGAGTCTTCCTCCCATCTAATCATATAGTCCAGCTTCTTGGTTTATTTACTCAGCATACAGATTGGATAAGTATGGTGAAAGGATCCAATGATGCACACTTTTCTGATTTTAAACAATTCAGTATCCCCTTGTTCTATTTGAATGCTGTCTCTTGGTCTATGTACAGGTTCCTCATAAGCACAACTAAGTGTTCTGGAATTCCCATTCTTTGTAATGGTATCCATATCCTTTGCATAGTCAGTAAAGCAGAAGCAAAGAAAAATAACTAAAAATTTAGTTGCACAAGTTGTTGGTCTGTTCTCAATCCAGTGTTCTAATTCTGGTTTTCTGAGCATTAAATAATTTCTGGAGATAAAACTGTCTAAAATAATAAGACTTTTCATAGTGTTACACTCAAAATAATTCTACGAAAATTACACAAACCATTTTTTTCCCAGACCACTACTTCCATTTTTCTACAATCACCTTAAATGAATTGTAAGATTTTATATATGCTCTTGTTTTATTATATTTCCACATTCCAAGAGGGAACATTACTGTTTAGGTATGGGCTGTTTTAAAATCCCAACTGAACTAGATTACCAGTAGGGATCTACCACAAGCAGCTGAGTAGCAGCTTTGGGTAAGTGGTCTGCTTCCACATATAAGCAGCAGCTTTGGGAATGGTCTCTAGCCTATGGCACACTTGGACTCTGCATGTAGCCGTGTTGTTGTTCAGCAGCCTGCTATGCTTTGCCGACCTTGGGACTTACAATGGACTTAAGTTAATGGCCTGCCATGTAGTTTGGTAATATCAGGACTGTGCCTTTTTTACTT